GCCACTGAGCTAAATCCCCAGACCCCTACTATTGTGTTCTCTGGCCAGGAGAATTGGTGTAGAAATGGTCCTATGACCTCGGCTAAGGCAATCAAAAATATACGTTCTAGGACTTTTCCTGGATCTACTAAGAGTGAGACTCTCTTCCCACAGAGTTGTTAGTTGGAGCTGCTGATGGGTATCTTGCTATGATTCCCAGGAATGGTGCCTTCAGACAACACAGCAGAGCTGAGAGACAGAGACCTGTCTAGGGGAAGTAGATTCAACTTTGGGTGGAGTTAGCTATGTGTATGGGCTTCTTTTATATGACCCAGTGGAATTTCTTTTCTTGCTTAGGCCCATGTGCTCAGGTTTCGGTTCTTTGCAATATAAGATCCAATCAATGAATCAGAATCGTTCATCAATGTCCTTAGTTTTATTAGATTCTTTTTAGGAACAGATACATATTAGTATCAACTTAGGTGAGAGAGAAGGAGCTCACACTCATCTCTATGTGTTTAGAAAATAATCTTTGGGTGGTTTTGGTACTTTCTCAGTGATTGTACGCCCATCTTAAATTTTGTTCTTAGCTCAGTTAACGTGATCTCAGGCACTTGTTCTCCTTTTCAAGTGCAGTAGTCACTGCATTTATCTTTAATTGGGAGATCACCTGCCAAGCAGGTTCCTTCAGGATGGCTCCTGACCATCTTCCTAACAGGATGAACAAGTCCTTCAAAGGTTCTCATTTCTTCCTCTAGCTGTCTGTATATTCCAACCATAATCTCCCTGAGCCAATCTCCTTTGCTGGAAAAATGTAGTACCATGCTTTTAATAACAGTGTAAACTTGTAAACATGAGAGTTTAAGATGCTTTCTCTCTCATTTTTTTCTATGTGGAAACAAACATCTCTTCTGTTCTAGTATCTATACACCTTCTTATAGGTGAGCAGTTTCCTAATTTAGCCAAAAAGTTAAAAATGGAGAATAACGACACTTGTTATGCAGCTCTTGAAAAAAAAACAACACTAAAGGTACTAATATTTTTAGTAAATTTCAGAGCTATCCCATTTCTGAAAGTACTTACAAGATGTTCATGTTTCTGTTAAATAAGCAGATAATCTTTATCTACTAATAAAAAAACAAAGCAGCCAGTTGCCAGAGGACTGTGACAGTCTTAACAAGTTTTACAGAAAATAAAATACAAGCAGATAACAGGCATCGTGTTCTCTTTGGCAAATATTAACACTTCACAGCTCGCATATCTTGCTTACTTAATTGGGCCTATAACAACTCACCAGGGCATTTCACTTGCAGCCACTGAAATTCTCTCTACCTGTTCTTTACAGCTTTTCCGAGCCTGGATGAGAAAACAGCCACAAAACAGACTGGCTGAAAAGATTTTTAAGGTCTCAGGTCCATATTTACAAACCTTACAATCTGTGGTGCATTCATTTATTTTAAAACAAATGAAGTGCATAAATCATGAGCTTTCTTGGAAAAGCAAAACAAACAGAAACGAAGACCACATTGTGAGAAAAAGAATAAAATGTGCTGGCTGAAGTGAATCCCAAATTGTCTCTATAGCTTTCCCAGTACCTGTCTCCAAATGACTGCAGACCTGCCCGCCCCCAACTCTACTCTCTCTGGGTACATTTACGGCTCACTAGACATTGGTATTTGTCATATGTGCTGGGGTTCTATGCTGTTTGGGCTTAAATGTCTGTATTCTTAGCTAGATTTTGAGCTCTTCCAAGCACAGATAGTGTCATACTCTTGTTACCAGCAACAAGTCTACATTAAGATTGAGCAACTACATGTTACAGTTGAATAAGAGACACAGAGAAAAGAGAGGCATAATGAAGAAAAGAAATGGTGAGAGAAGTCTTAGGCTCAGATCACTGAACATGTGTAATACTGGGAGAGGAGCGCAAACAGGGCGGCCAGGAAAGGTGTGGAAAGTTCAGAGAAGGCCAAAGAAAGAGTATTCTTCCCACTGAGAAGGTTGCCTCTAACAAATATCCTTAGATCCTAATTGTCTATCAGTCAACTAATCAGTTTGGTTTTGAGAACTTTTGGGAGCCTATTTTCATTCTTTCTGGTCTATTTTTAAATTAGTAATAATATGTTTGGTCATCTGTATCTGTGGATGCTACATAGATGTAGATTCAACCAACTGAAATATTTGTAAAAAACATGCCTTTATGAACCTGTACAGATTTTTCCTGTCATTATGCTCTAAATAGTACAGTACAACTGTTCCCATAGTATTTACATTGATTAGGTATTACAAATACTCTAGAGATTATTTAAAGTATATGGGAGAATACCAGTAGGTTCTATGCAAATACCTTGCTATTTTATTTAAGGGATTTTAGTACTACAGATTTTAGTATCTGCAGGGGTCCCAGGACCAACTCCTCCATCACCCAATAATGAGGGAGAACTGTAACTGTGAGGTAATTTTTTTCCTATTGTCCTTCTTGAGAGCTCAAAGGTCTCCAGAACAGTACCACTCTCGGGAGCATCCATCAGACCTCTCAACCTGAGCTACAAGATGTGGGGAATTCTAAATCCATGCATGTGTTCCTGCTGCTGCTGCTGTAGACAGTGTTATTAGCAAACTTTCATAGTGTTAATGTCTACTAAAGAAATAAGAGTCAATGCCCTATTTTTAAAACTTGAGTCAGAAACCTCGTTGAGCACCTGGAGAAGCATGGGGGGGCTCTCCTACCCTCCCCTTCATGGTCAGTTGGTTTGACTTTAACAAGCATCCCTGTGACGCTGAGGACCAATCAACCTAATCTAGAAATTGCAATGTCATGAAAGCTGCTTTGGCATAGTGACTGGCAGGAATGAAATGTTAACTTCCTAAACTCATGTTCATAGATCTCTCCAAGAGTAGCAAGTCAACAGTGTAATTTTTCAGACCTCTGCTAGACAAAAGATAGTAGTGTTTTCCTTGGTGTGGGGAGAGGAGACGAAATGATGCTGATATCCTAACTCCTGGTTTGGACTATCTCAGGTGATCACAAGGAACACTCATCTCTTCATTTCCCAAGCACCCCTTTTGGAAGTTCGGATCCTGATTGTCTGGGAAGTATAACATCCGTCACTGTTGGCAAAGCACAACACACGAGATCATGGAAAACACCAATAAAAATCGAGACACTTCACTCCCTATATTGTCTGCTTACACATTTGCACAGCATAACAATAGGATCATTAGAAAAAGAAGCACACAGGGAAGAGTTTATCCAGCTCAAGTTTGGTGAGGGTCAGAGGAAACATTCAGTCTCTGGAAGGTTAAGCATCTTCATCCTTCCCACTTGAATTAAAGAAATAATATAAAATAAGGTCAAAAAAACCAGGACTGCTTAATCTAAAATACCTTGCTTATTTTGCTCATAGGGATTCATAGTGGTTTGTGAGCGGAATACTTTTCAATGCGTTGGACACGGTGCTCTGTTTTGGGCATGGTGGAAATAACTTCACTTCATTGTATTGCTTATTTGTTTTGTTGAGAGAGCAGAGCCTTACCTAATGAGTTCTCACATCTCTTGTCAAAGGTAGTAAATTGATCTCGATCGAGTTTAAAACAGAATAAATTGTTATCTAATCTGCTATTCTGTGGAAATCTTTCTCTTCTGCTACTGAGAATCTAAGAGACAAGTTGTCCCAGCACTTTAAATGTCATTCTGCTTAATGCTGACACCTGTAATAGAACCAGTACATAGCTCCTCGCTCTGGTCTATAGTTTACCAGAACTATCTCCGAAGAGGCTGTTGCCACTTGGTTTGGAGTCACCAGCCCTCACTGCACGCCTCTGGTTAGTGCTTTTAAACTCTGTCTTCACAGGAGGAATCTTGTGCACTGCAGTTGCTCTGCCTAAAGATGCCATCTCCTGAAACTGACTTGCAAACTGCGTGTCCTGTGGGACCTGCCACTGTACAGATATGAAAACTACCACGAATCCACTTGTTCCTTGGGCTCCACTTACTCTATCCTGATCTTGTAAGCATAAATGTGGATGTGAAATCCAGGAGGAAAAACTTCCCTTCAATGGAGTGGCCTCCCACAGGAGCTGCTATCTTCAGTGAGCACCAGGATGACAGAGTTCCTTACTTGGGTTTTAAAATAGCACTAAAAGCTGGAGTAGAAGGCAGTAATCATCAAAGAGGGGACATGAGAAGGAATCACAGCTAGGACACTGCTATGATCATGTTCAACTCTGCCCCAATAATGTTAGTGTGGAGAGCTAGTAATTGTTGAGCACTGGCTCTGTGTCAGGCACTGTTCTGAGTGTCTGACAGGTACACGTCATCCCACACTTACGCACCTCCTCTGGACAGTCTTACAGAGGCTCACAGCAAAGTGTATTTTGTAAGCAAAGGCTTACCTTCTTGGAAAAGATGAAAAGAAAATGAATCATTCTAGTCTGAGAAAACAGAGGGAATATATCTTCAATGGCTACAATAATCTTTTCTGGCTCCTGTGTGTTGAAAATTTGGCAAAATCTCCCCTTATCTCAAAACAAAGAAATGTTAATGTACTGGTAAGGTTGGTGGAACATGATTTGCTCAGCTGTAATATACTAACAATTGATATCTCTGACAACAACCCTGCAGAAGTTTGCTTCTAATAACCATATTCCAAAGGACACAGGGCCTACAGTGTGGTCTATTAATGATGGCTGAGGTGTCTCAGGTCAAAGGAAGGTAAAGATTTAGGCTCACTGAATATTAGCAAAGAATCTCTGTCTTTAAAGTTGCTGCCATCAGCTCACTTCCAAACCGGGGAGCATACACCCAGAAGCAAGCATGACGGCCACGAGAAGGATCATGCACATGGACTTACGTAAGCAATGTCTGTGGGAGAAGACAGCTGTCATTTGGGTAATATCCACATGCATAAAACCCAAGCAACTTCAGTACAACTTGATATGTATAGAACAGAGCTATGTTCTTCTGTTCTACATTATTTCAGTAAGGACAAATTCATGATTCAAATCAGGCATAGGCTTACCCAGTGGAGATCATAATCAGTGGGTCTTGGTCTTCCTTCATCGTCTTCATATAAAAGGAAGCCCTCCCTGCGAGCCTGATAATACTCCTTTCGCAGCTTCTGGATGCGGTCGGAGTTTCCTCCCACCGGACGGCCACTGAAGAACACAACGAACACAGTCACCCAGAGCACAGAGTGGTCTTGAAGTCACTTTTTGATATTTCTCTTAAAGGTGCTACCATCCAAATTTGAAAGATTCGATGATATCATTCAAATATGCTAGGAAAATGGTGACATTAGATAAGTAATTAAAATGAATAAAAAAATAGTGCTTACATGCATACCTTTGCTCCAAGGTTCAAAATATCTGATTTGAGATTAATAACTACTTTTGGAATGAGAAGGTAAGCAAAAGTTTTGACCTTTTAGAGCAATTACAATACCTATCGTTTTCTTTTTAAAATCATATACATAGTTTGACTGAATTTTAGTGTGAGCGTCTCATTAATGTTGAGACACGGGAACGTAAAAATAAACATTTCACAGCCCTTACCTGCAAGAATCACAGTCTAGGAGTGGGGAGCAGAAGGTACACAGAAGACTACAATTATTCTGACAGTGCCACAACAGAGATCCGCGTGGGGTCATGGGAACACAGAGGACAAGCCATGGGACATGGTCACAGAGGTGCCACCGAGAAGATGGCACTTTAGCTGAGCCTTGAGGTATGCATAGGTGTTCAGCAGCTGGACAAGTGAGGAGAGGAAGTTCAGGAAGAGACAAGGTCAAGGCGAGTCACAGCCTCAAAAAAGCGCTGCTTCAGGAAATGCAAGCTGGCTACTCTGGGCAGGTGGTGGTCCTCAAATTCTCCAGTCCTCCCTGCACACACGGGGTGACACATGCTCCCTTCCTTTGGAAAGGAAGTTAGAATGAAAGTGTGTGCTCATAACTTCAACTTAGGGATATTCAGAATTCACACTAATAAATGACAAATGTGTATCACTGGTAGATTTGGGTACTTCATCGGTTCAAACACTGGTGTTTCATGGATAACTGAGAGTCTCTGCTCTAGTTGATAAGGGATGTGGAGGAGAGGGAGGGACCTGGGACAGCAGGTAGTGGCACAGGTATGAAGAGCCTTATAAGCCCAAATGGTCCCTGAATATTATGATTGACGTTTCAGTTTAAAAGAGATAGCCAATAAGGATGAGGTATTGAAAAGGTAGTAGAAAATGAGCATCCATTTTGTTAAAGTGTTTAAAATTATGCCTGTTTGGTGTCTCTAATACGATAAACCTAAAATATAAATATCAAGTAAACAGGAGAGAATGTAGGAAATGAAAAGGGAAATTTCCTGGAGAGGGGGAAGGGGCCACAGTGGGGGCAGTGAAGGATGTAGAATAACCAGGATATGTTCTATACGTGCACCGAGTTCCCAGGTTACATATTGCCAACACACACTCATGCTAACTATGGTTGCAAATTATAACAAGGAAAAGGGTGGAGTAAGCATGCCTCTGAGGAAAAAGAACTCTTCCTGAGTGAGACTTTCAGTCAAGGAAGGTGGACAAGTGTCCCAGCCCTGAAGTCTCAGAACTGCTGTGGGGCTCTCTGGGTGCTCCACAGACCTGAAGCTGCTATTTTTTGATTAAGAAAATACAAACTCTTCAGGGCCATGTAGCTTTTTCTCTTCAGTGTGCATTTAAAACATCTCCGGAGAGTTCTAGTTCTTTTCCTTCCCTTCTTTTTTAAATAAACGTTTCTGAACACTTGATGAAGATAACGCTAAGAAGACAACCCCTCAGAAGCACCAGCAGGCGGGACGGCAGTGCAGTCCACCTGACCCCTCTGAGCTCCTGAGGCATCGGCAAGGACAGTGGTGGCTGGGTCCCAGACACAGGCTGCTGCCTTTACGGGAGCGCAGGCACCACGCTCAAACCCACCAGATGAGTTCAATCAACATGGAGCAAACACCGCATACATAATCTATTAGTTTACCCCCAAGAAACTGAAGCATTGAATTCAAGCAGAATGAAGTCATCACTAATAAAGGGGAAAAAAGAAACAAAGAATGGAAAAAGAATTTGATAAGGTACTGTTTTTTTTTTTTTTTAAAGAAAACCTACCATTTTCCTCTATTTGTGGTGGGAAAAAATCATATTCAGACTGTAAACTGTTCTGCCATATGCCTATAAATATAAAAATTTAAAAGTATGGGTTTGATCAGATTGCCATTCTCAAACAAGGGAATGGGGAAAGAATACAAAATCAGTTATTGTGGATTCAAAAACTCCCTGATAGCTAACAGAAACCCGGTTATTAACCCAGAGAAGAAATTTGGCAACCAAAAAAAAAAGTCACAGAGCATCTTAGTATAGAACATGCTGTATTTTTTTCACCATGTGAATATTTTAAAGGCAATATGGAATGCTGTGAAAACTTCCTTATGATAGCTTGGGACTACATCTCAATATCATCTCTTCCTTTTTGTTCAACCCTAATCCTACCTCTATTAACCACACAATATTTTTTTCCAAGCAGGTGTTTAATGTAGTAAAATTTGGAATAGCAAATTTTGATTTCAGTTTTCAGCTCTTCTCACTGAATAATATATATACGTTTACCACCAAATTAATAAAATGACATATACTATTATTATAATAAAAAAACTAAATAATTCCATTTTGTGCTGAGGATGTAAAAATTTAGCAATTTGATGGGGACACACAAGCACTCTGTGATAATAAACCATCATCATAATAAATCATAATAGTTATAATTTATAGAACACGTATACAGCAAGTACAATGTTAAGAACATTTACTCCGTTTTTCTGCCCAGAGCAGACATTGCTAGTCAATTACAGCATATTTCTCAATGATCCTAGAGATAAACTCAGAACCCATCTCAATCCAGAACTTCAGAAAATCACTACTAATCTACAGGAGCTGGCACTTGAGTTGAATTCATTTACAATTCTGTGTGGTACATGCTATATATCTTAAAACACTATTGATCCAGGTGTGGTGGTGCACACCTGTAATTCCAGAACTCTGGGACTCTGAGGCAGGAGGATCACAAGTTCAAGCCCAGCCCACGCAACTCAGGTACTTAGTGAACCTTCTCTCAAAAGTAAAAAATAAAAATAAAATCAGGCTGGGGATGTAGCTCAGTGTAAAGGCCCTGGGTTAAATTCTCAATAATACACACAAACACGCACACAGGCGCATACACACACACACACACACACACACACACAAATACTGCCTGAGGCTCACTGCTGGCAGATGATTCAGAAGACTAGCCTGACTTTAGACTCCTCTTTCCACTATTGCTACTACAGCTTACTATCTTCCAATCTCTTTATCTTTCTCCATCTTATTTATATTTTAGATACCTCCAGCAATAAATGAACCAAATGGAAATTGAGGACAGCCAAAAGACTTTCTGAAGATTCTGGTTTTCCTCATCTATGTATTTTCCTGGCCTTATAGAACTCTGCAGTATGAATTATAGGGAATCTTTTGTCCTGTAGCTTCAGGAGTGACATCGAATTATGATGTAACTCTATTACTCTTGGAATCACATAAAACCTATAAAAGAATCAATAATTCTGTCACCATGTTGTTAGTTGGGAAATTAGGCCTTTGGCATTATTTGTTGACTGGTCCCAAGTAAAGCCTGGTCATGCTTGCAAAAATGTTCCTGCTATAGCATCATATGGGGGTGCTGAATGATAGTCTTACATTTTAAATGTCTTGAAATTTTATGTTATTTCAAGCAGTATAGAAAAAATTTATACTGTAGGTATTTCTTGTGAATTGCATGATCTTTCCATTTAAAGACAAATATATAGTTAAACAGACCCTTACAGAACTGGAGAACTAGAAGGAACTACAGTTGTAACAGAATTCAGAAGCCATGCTGTTTTTGTCATAGCCATTTACAGCCATCAAGGACTAGCCACCACATATGATCAACTTCACACTAAGGCATCATCTGCTTCTTTGGAATCTCACCTTAACTTTATTCTTCCTAGTTCATAATTTCCTCAGTTATAGTACTTCTTAAAAAATGAGAGTTCATTTGTGCATGTCGTAGTCTCTATTGCTGCTGTAGGCTACAGAACTAAATAACAATTATTGAGCTTCTGTGATGCTCTACCTACAGTATTTGCACTCCACATATTTCATCTCATTTAATCTTTGAATCTCTGAGGATGATGTTGCTGTTGACCTTTCATAGACAAGTGCACTGAGGTGCACAGAAGTTAAATAACAATTGGTGAATGGTGGTCCTGGATTTGTGTGCTTACAAAGCCAGAGCTGTTTCTCCATATCATGTTGCCTTGCAAGAAGGCATTAAAATGCAGCAGGCATTTTGTAGCGGCAGTTCACAGGCACTTCAAGGCAGAAGAAAGTTAGCAGAACACGTTCAAAGCTATACCATTTGATATTCTTTTATTTGCACAGATCTTTGCAACAAACAACAGAAATAGAAGTAGCTAAAGTAATAGAAATACAAGCAATGAAGTCTGTATTCATTAAAGAATGATGCTGGAGCAATGGCAGGCTGACATTTCTGGACAATTAATATTACATTTCTAACAGGCTTTTGCAAGAGACTGACATAAAACTGAATGGGGTGCAAAGGAGAATCAACGTATGACAAAGATCCCACATCAAAGACAAGCAGACTCTGGATGAGGACCAGGGCTGAGAGGCAGCCAGGGCTGCTCCTGGGAAAGTTCATGGCATGTGAGAGGAAGTCAGTCCCTAGCACCAGCCCTTGGCTACTACTGACTTAGGGAATTATCTGGGATTACTGTGTATGCCTGTGTAAGTGGTAATGTTAGTAAGTGCACACACGTGAGTGATGACGAAACTGAGCAGAGTGAATTCCAAGCAGCTTTCTTCAAGATATGTAGCTCCTCACTGTTGCAGATGTTTGCTTCTCAGGAGCACAGTCACTTTAAGGACCAGCTTGGTTCAGATTTGCTGATGTGCCTACGAAATAGCCTTTGTAGAATGGAACCTTCAGAAAAACATTTCCATCTGGATTCCCATATAGATGATACGCTATATGAAATCATTGAATTAAATTCTTTATATAAGATATATGCCTGTCAACAATAATCCCAACTGTAGGGCAGTTATT